GGAAGCCGTCATACCCCAAAAGGAGGAGGATGGAGGAGAAATCGGAGGAAGACGAGGAGAAGGGGGCGGGGGAGGGAGGAAAGGGAGCAGGGAGGACAAGATAGGTGCGCTCGCGTCATATCTGACGTCCTATCCCTCCCTCCCTCCCATCCCTTACCATGGCGTAGATATCCTCTCTATTCGCAAAGTCGGATGTCGAGCAGGGCAATGATCGCGAGAGGGCACGCGGTGCATGGTAGAGCACGGTATGGCATGGCGTAGAAGAGAACGGCAGAACGTAACATACTATAGCATGGCGTGGCATTGCGCAGTGAAGCATTGCATCACAAAGCATTGCAACACAAAGCATGGCATCGCACAACGGCACGGAAAACAACACCGCACAGCATGTCATAACATGGCGCCGGGTTCGTTGGAGGGTAAGTGGATCGTCTTCGAGAGGTCTGGGCCGGTTTGGAGTCATGGCTCCATGTCTACGTAGCTCTTTAGGCTCTCCGAAAAGCTGCACACAAGGCGGCGATGATGGAGAGCACCCGCTGGCTCTGCTTTCAACACCGCCTTCTGAGAGCAAAAACGGGCTCCCGCTTGATACTTCCTGAAAACGACACGACACGGGCTTCTGCAGCCCCAAAAATCAACGAATCAACACCGAATGTGTAATCACTTCCGATGGTTTTTTCTAAGGGCCATTTTCTAGATTTCGGGGCCTGTTTGGAAAAACCGAAAACACCCGCGCTGCAGCGGGAACACGATTTGGAACAACCAGAGGCGCAGAAATGGGGCCAGCGCTGCAGCGGGAGCAGCATGTTTGAAAACAACCCAAGCGAAAACCCATTACCTGGGAATCCCAGTACGCGGAGGGGGGCCAGATATCTTCTGGACGTCATCAGTGGAGAGAGGAGAGTAGTATTCATATTGTGTAACTGTGGATGAGCAGGCGGAGGAGGAGGATGAGGAGGAGGAGGGCGAGCAGAATGGCCAGAGGTCTCTTCGATGCCTCTCGGAGTCTCTTTGGATGCCTCTTGAAAATGTCTAGGAGTCCTCTCTGGGCGTTTGAGAGTCTCTTGGCGGTCCTAGGGGCCTCTTGGATCGTCTTGCGTGCCTCGGGGAAGCTTCTTGAGGCGCCTTGGGGATATCTTGGGAGCCTCTTGGGGACCTAGTGGAGGCCTCTTGAAGCCTCCTGGGCGCCTCTTGGGGCCCTCTTGGGGCGCTCTTGGGAGCCTTGGGAGCCATCTGAGGCCCGTCGTGGAAGAGATCGATCAAAGAAGGAGGGGGCTCAAACGCATGATTGCGGACGTGCAGACAGAAAGTGCGAAAATGGGTTTGGAATTGCATCCAAACAAAACAAAGATACATTACAACAGTATGCAGCACAATCAAGCCGGCAGTTGTGGAGGGAATGAACATCGAAGTTTTACGGCCGGCTGAAACCAATATGTATTTGGGCAGAACGTTGTCGTTGACTAGACCCACGAGGTTGAACTCGATCACCGACTAAGAAGGCATGGGCCAAGCTCGGCGTGCTTAAGCATTAGCTGACCAACAGGCCAACACCTGTCCTGTACATCTTCGAATGCAACTTTTTCATTATCTGCTCTGTACGGCTGCGGCAGCTGGATGATGACAGTTGAGCGGGGTTCAAGACTGAATACCGCGCACATGAAAATGGTCAGAACTATTCTCGGACGAAAACGTGCTATCACACCGGAAGGTGAAGTCGAGACGTGGGTGACTTGGGTGCCACGCGTCACGGTGGAGGCACGACAACTCATGGAGAAGCTCAACATACCCAGCTGGACAGAAGAACGTTGTTCCAGACTGCAGCACTGGAGTGACGCATTGGAGAAGATGAATGGCGAGCGATGGCACGAAGAGTCTTAAACTGGGACCTTGACGGGCGTCGGGCCCGGGGGCGGCCACTGTCGAGATGGATCGACCCTTTTCTGCTGAGCCCTGAGGGCACGCTGCTGCGCGCGCGCAGCACGTACTCAGCATCCTTTCCCTGTCCTGTCCCCAGGAGGCCGAAATAGGCCCCGAACCTGTGTCAAATCAGGGGTTTTTGCCTGTTCGCCGAGGCCTCCCTGGACGCTCCAATCGGTCGCGCCCCCCCCCCCATCCAGGTTCAGTGGAAGGGGTATGGGGCAGGATGGGGAGGGGTCAAGGCACCCTCCTCGCCCGCAGGCTGTTTCGCTCACGTCCACCCGCATTTCCAACACATAAGTAGCACCCGAGCCTCAGTATGTCCAGCGGCCGTCTATGGATGGACAGCTAAGACGAATCAAACTGGCCCATGTGCGCGACGCTGGGGCGAGGTGCGCCACGCGTGCCAGGCGCACCACGCGCGTCAGGTGCGCCGGGCACCTCTGGGACCAAGCGTGCCAGGCACGCGTGGCGCGCCAGATGTGCCACGTGCTCCACGAGCGCCTTGTGTGCCGCATGCCCCAGCCGCGCCAGGTGCGCCACTTTCGGGACACGCGCAGAGCGCGCCAGGTGCCCCGCGCACGTGACAGCACACATCGGGAAACATGTCGGCCACCACCGTCTTTGTCGAAAACCACTGCGCAATCGCGGCCGGGAGGCCATCATGGTGTCTGGTGGGCCTGCACACCGCAGGCAATGCAGCAGGCAATGGACAGTGATCGCGGGGTGGCCGCATGATCCAGATTCAGCCCTGAAGTACACTTTGTGTTGTTTTTACCAGGGGGTGTGGCCCTGCGCACAGCATGCAATATGAGGGCCCCCCCGCCATGGTTATCAAAAACAATACAAAATGTTCAAAGTAACTTGCATGACCCACGACTTTGACCCAACGTGTATTTTGGTGTGCCGGTCGCTTGGGGGAGGAAGTTTTTGTTGACTAGGGAACAGAGGGCTGGTGGGATTTGCTGGGGCACTCGGGGCCCAGGCTCCGGGCTGGCACACCCTCCCAGATCCCCCTCCTGTGAGTACCCCCTCTCTGGGGCCTCCCACCAGCTGCCCAAAACAGTTCCGGGAAGCACGACTCAGCGATCAGAGCGGCGCAGTAGGGCCGAAGACGCGCCGAGATGGCCTGGAGACGGCCGACGAACCCCTCAGAGGCCCACAAGACGCCCCAAGAAAGCTCCAAGATGCTTTCCAATAGGCCCAGGATGGCCCAACTTGCCCCAATCCCTGAGGAACACCTGCAATTTTTCAGGTCATTAATATCGTCCAAGAGGCCCGAGAGGTACCCAAGATCGCTCCGAGACGGCCCAAGAGGCCCCCCCCAAAACCCAAAGATTAAATAAGAGAGCATATCACCCACCGCATCTCAGTTGGCACCAGGACTTCTGCATAACCGGCGTGGACAATTAACCAGAGAGCTCTATAGCGCCTCCGCAGTCGAGAGGCCTAGAATTGATGGTTTCTCAAAAGCTTCCGCCTCCCCCGAGTTCGAGAGGAAACCGATGAAGGTTACGCCCTGCGGCAGCACAAATCCCGTCGCGAGCAATCATCAAATCGGGCATCGTCGACTTCGATGCCGTAGTCGCCAGTAGGGTTTACTGGAACGCCGGGCATCTCGCCAGGCGCTGCCGAAGAGAGCCTGAACTTATCATACATCATGGAATTTGCATGGCCGTAACTCAAGACATCTTCCTTGGTTCGAGGGGGGCGCTCTGATCTTCCCGACCATTTGCAAGAACTGCCGATGGGCACTGCAAATGACAAGCGCCCCTAAACAGCGAACTCGGTCGGGGTCTCAACTGCTCTAAGAGAACACGATTTTGGAAGCAGCATGCGAAACGTGTGCCGTACCGTGCCGTGCCTGCGTGCCGTAATTACCGTGCCGGTGTTGCGCCGTACCCGTGCCGTGTCCAGTCATCAGGTTGCAAAGAAGTTGTTGCCGTGCTGTGACCGCGTTCCGTGCCGTGTCCGTCCCGTGCCCAGTCTTCAGGACGCAAGGAGTTGCCGCCCGCCGTACCGTGCCGTGCCCGCGTGTGCCGTGCCGTCGTCCCGTGCCGTGCCCGTGCCGCGCCCCACTTTAAGGCAGACAAGTTGCTGCCCGTGTGCCGTGCCGTGCTGTGCCCGCTGGCGCAGTGCAGTGACCCCCTGCCGTGCCGTGCCCGTGCCGTGCCCAGGCGTGCCGTCTGCGTGCCGTGCCGTGGCGCGTTCTGAGCCTTGAGAATGCGAAGATGTTGCCGCCCGCGTGCCGTGCCATGCCGTGCCGTGGTATGCCCGCGAGCGCCGTGCCAGACCTGCGCGCCGTGCCGTGCCGTGCTCGGTCTCTAAGAAGAAGCAGAAGACAGTTACACGTAGTAGCCAGTGTCTTCTTTGCACACGTTAGAAGGATGCCGCCCTTGTGCCGTGCCGTGCGGAAGTTCTAGAAGGCGAAACCGTGCCACCCGCGTGCAGTGCCGTCCCGTCCCGTGGCGAGGTGTGCCATACCCTGATGCCGAACTTCTGGGGATGTGAAACAGTGCCGCGCCTTACCGAGTTTGTCAGAGTGCTGTTCTATGTATGCCTTGCCACGTGCGCAGGTCTTTAGTAAATCGCGATTGTGTTTAGGGTCACGGTGTTTTTTCGAACGGGGTGTCGATTGGCTCGAAGAGATGCAAGACGGCCGCTGCTGGAAAGCAGCGGAAACCTAATTTTCTGGAGCGTTGCATAGGTGGAGTGTTTTGCGTTTTTGGTGTTTGGCTTCTGGGCTTCTCATGACAAAAATACCTCATTTAACATGTATGTGTACACACTCCTTGTCCTGGTATTCCTGTCCTCTCTGTCTGCATTCTTCCTTCTCCGTGTTCTCCTCCTCTCCATTCCCCCTTTTCGCCTCGCCCTGTCTGCGAGGGGGGGCGCCCCGTGCGACCCTTTGTTTGTATGATTACAACAAGGCTTTGTTTGATGGATTTCCTGATGATTTCTTGTGCATCTCCATCATCGACTGCCACGTCGATTGTATTCGTATCGCAGGAGGGGGAGGAGGGATCTTCGCCTGGCCCTGACTGCGAGGGGGGGTGCCCCCCCTCCCTGCTCCCAACAAGGAGAGCGGCTCGGAGCTGAGGGAACTCCTGGCCGAGGATAAGCTCGCCAGCGCACCTCCGCCCGCCGAGTGCCATCGGGTGCGGTTGAAAAAGGCCATGGCGTCCGCGGAAGGCCCCTCGAGCGGTGCTCAAAGGGCTCGAAAGAGCAGAGTGCGCCAGTGGATGGGCCCGATTGTTCTAGGCCTCCTAGATGGGGTCCGAGTAGACGGGGTCGGAGTATCGCGCCGCATAGCCGATGCATCGTCGATGCGGCTCCATGTGGGGCCTGATTTACTTCTTGTCGACGTCGCCAATGCATCGCCGACGTCCACGATGCAATGCCGGTGCATCCCCGATACATCGCCGATGCATCGTCGATGTATCGGCGATGAAGCGCGACCCTCCGACCCCATCTACTCGGACCCCAGCTAGGAGGCCTCTAATAGCCGAGGGGATCGAAAGCGAACGGTCGATCAGCAAATCCGTGCCCGAGAGCCCGTCCCGGAACTGGTAGGAACGGGCACGGATACACATGGACGGATGTATTTTCTCCAGGGGTGCTTCGGCGGTGTTTTGTCCGACATGGCGAACCATCATCGTCGAAAATCGCGGCTGCGGAGGCCGAGGCGGACCAGGCACCGATATTTCCTGGCGGCAGTACGGTACTGGGAGACCAGTATGAACAGTGGGAAGCCGACCCCAGCCCCAACAACTATGGATTTTTCACGTCAGCGTTTTGCATTTACGGCGAATGAGCGTCAGTGTAGGACGTCCTGGGCCCGCTCGACGCGGCCGCGTTCCCATGGCGGCGCGCGCCACGGCCGCGGCTCGCAGTTTGAGGCGATGGCGGCGCTGTCCCTCGCGCGGCAGCGCCGCTGGCCCAGCCGAGGGCCCCCGCGCCCGCCTCCGTCGCCCCCTCCTGACCCCGCCGGCGGAAAAATTTAAATCGGAACCGTTTCTCTTAAGGCAAGTGGGCCAAGATATAGTTTTTTGGGCGTTTATATAAACACGGTTTCCAGTTTGTATTAATTGTTCGGGGCTCTCCCGCGCGAGACTTTCTGCTACGGGAAGGTTTAGATTGATTTTACATGGAGTTTATATAACTTGTTCGCCTGGTGCCTGAACTTGGTTTTAGGGGTGAGCCTCGACTTCTCGATGCGCGCCCGTGCAGGGCGGGCCCCGGGCGCCGCGTGGGGCTCCTGCCAGCGCCGCCAAGGGCAGACGCGCCCATCGGTTTTTGCCCTGGCACGAGCGCGCGAATGTCCACAATGGTTTTGGGCATTGACCGCGTGGCGGCACAATGAAACGCCAAGCTCGAATGCCAATGAGCATGGCAGCAGCGCGCCGTTCGCATTGAATGTCGCGGCGTTGTCGTTGGCTGACCGTCGAGCAGTTTCCGCTCTCAGTTCGCGCGTCGTTTGACGGTCCCAGTGGTCTACAGTTCCTCATGCGGGGGGCGGGGGGTGCATTTCATGTGTTCACAGTGCACGAAGACGGCGCCGCGGGCAGGCGTCGCGGTCGAGCGGCAGCTTCGCGCGGTGGAGTCGTGCGGGTCCGAGGCCGTTGACCCATCGTTCGGTGGATCCCGAGGGAAGAAAAGACGCACGACGACCATGACCACGATGTCGACGCCAATCTTGGTCGTGGTCCATGCCGGCCGTCGCTGATTCGGGAGGAAGATCCACGAATTGACGGTGACCAAGATGGACGGTGACCAAGATCGACGCCGAGGTTTCCGCGTTCAGTTTTGGACATGGTCACAGTCTTATGTCGTTTCGTGCGTTCGCAGGGAGTGCAGTCTCTTCCTCTCCAGCTGGGGCCAGTTTTCACGCGCCCGCCCGCAGTGCGGTGCCCTCGGCCTGCACTCGTGGCTGCACGTAACAGCAGATCGCAGTGGGAAGGGGCCCGTATCCATCAGTCGTTCAATGTAGGTATTCTGTAGTGTGGAGAAGCCACATCCGCCGACCCCGTTTATTTCGGGTCGTGGTTTGGGGAATTTTCTCGTGTCGTCCCGGGGGGCGGATACATCGATGAAGTATCCGAAGGGCTTCGGCTTTGTTCGTGTCTGATGCAGGTGGCTTCCTCGGACAATCCGCGTTCAAGGCCTGCTGCATGCATGTACGCAGCTGTGCGTTCTCTTCCATAGATGCGGTCATCTGAACCTTGTGCGTGTCGTAATTTTCATGCTTGCTAGGCTTGAGTGAAGCTTCGTCTGAGCGAATCGGGAGGAAGCCTGGAGCGGGAGCGCCCTCCCTATGGGGCTCCCACTTCATGTCGCCAATCCGAGCGGGTCGTCTGAAACCTGTAATTGTCGTCACGTTGGGGGCTCCTCGAGCCTGCATTCGGAGGAATCCTCGAGAGAGAGCTTCGCATATGAGTGAACCGCGGGGGAGTCTCGAGAGGGAGCCCCCTCCCTATAGAGCTCCACCTTAATGTTGCCAATCCGAGCGGGTCATTTGAAAGCTGTAATTGTCGTCATTTTGGGGGTTCCTCGAGCCTGCATTTGGAGGCCTCGAGAGGGAGCTTCGTCTGTGAGTGAATCGCGAGGAGGTCGAGAGGGAGCCCTCTCCCTATGGAGCTCCCGCTTCATGTTGCTAATCCGAGCGGGTCGTCTGAAACCTGTAACCGTCGTCACGTTGGGGGCTCCTCGAGCCTGCATTCGGAGGAATCCTCGAGAGGGAGCTTCGCATGTGAGTGAATCGCGGGGGAGTCTCGAGAGGGAGTACCGTCCCAATGAGGTCCCCACTGAATGTTGCCAATCCGAGCGGGTCATCTGAAAGCTGTAACCGTTGTCATTTTGGGGTCTCCTCGAGCCCGCATTCGGAGGAAGCCTCGAGAAGGAGCTTCGTCTGTGAGTGGATCGCAGGGAGTCGCATCCCTCCCTATGGTGCCCCACTTCATGTCGCCAATCCGAGCGGGTCGTCTGAAACCTGTAATTGTCGTCACGTTGGGGGCTCCTCGGGCTTGAAGGGAGCTTCGTCTGTGAGCGAATCGCGAGGAAGTTTGGAGCGGGAACCGCGTCCCGACGACGTCCCCGCTTCATGTCGCCAATCCGAGCAGGTCGTCTGAAACATGTAATTGTCGTCACGTTGGGGGCTCCTCGAGCCCTGTGGTGCCCCCACTTCAAGTTTCGAATCCGATCGGGCCGCATGAAACCTGTAAGTGTCGCCACATTGGGGCTTCTCGGGCTTGAAGGGAGCTTCGTCTGTGAGCGAATCGCGAGGAAGTTTGGAGCGGAAGCCGCGCCCCAATGAGGTCCCCACTTCATGTCGCTAATCCGAGCGGGTCGTCTGAAACTTGTAAGTGACGTCGCGTTGGGGGCTCCTCGAGCTTGCATTTGGAGGAATCCTCGAGAGGGAGCTTCGTCTGTGAGTGGGTCGTGAGGAGGTATCGAGCGGGAGCCCCAGAGTGCTTCAGAAGGCCACAGGAAACCCAGGAGGCTCCAGTCAGCCCCAGGAAGCATCGGGAGAACGCAGGAGAGACCAGAAGCCCCAGGAGGCTGCAGATTCACCAGGAAGCCTCAGAAGGCCCCAGGAGGTCCCAGGAGGTCCCAGGAGTACGCCGAGGCTCGGAGAGGCCCCAGAAGGCTCCAGGAGGCCCCAGGGGGCTCCAGGAGGCAACAGGAGATTCTTCAGGCTTACGCCACATCTGCCGACCCCTTAATGCGTTCGAGCAAGACATGTCTGACGCTGTTGATAGAGCAGGTGGAAATGTCGGGTGCACAGAAGAAGCACAATTCATCGGGGGAGAGGCTCTGTCCGAAATGCGCGGAGGGGCGAGAGAACGAGGTGCGACGTGACGTGCGCGGCGTGCGGAGGAGCGTTCTCGGACACGAAACATTTGCAGCAGCAACAGGTGGGGAATCATCAAAAGGCGACAGGAGCGGCGCGTGCAAGAGAAGACTACCGAAGTCGCAGAGGTCGTTTGGCGTCTCGGAGCTCTCGTGGGCCGTCTTGGAGGCTTCTTGGGGCCTTCTCGGCCCGTGTTTAGGCCCCCTTGACCCCGGAAAAGTCCCGTGATGCGCTCGTGCCGGGCCCTGGGGGGTCAAATCTCCGGTTTGAGGTCCCTGGGGGGGTTATGGGGGGGAACTATCTCACACGTTTAGAGACCCACAAGGAGGTAGCGGATTTAAGCTCCCCCTTCTTCTCCTCCCCTTCCTCCCTTCTCCCTCCTTCCTCCTTCTTCCTCGTCGTCCTCTTCCTCCTCCTGCTTCTCCTCCTCCCCCTCCTCCCTCCTCTCTCCTTCTACCTTCTTCCTTCTTTCTCCCTCCTTCCTCTTCGTCCTCCTCCCTTGTTCTCCCTCCGTTTCCTCCTCCTTTCCCCCCCGGCGCGCTCCGGCTTGAATCGCCGCCCGGGGCCCGCGGCCACGGGGTCTAGGGGTAGGTGGGGGAAGGAGGATGGGGGGGAGGAGGGCAAGGCTGGGGAAAGAGGATGAGGGAAAGGAAGAGAGGATGCAAGAGGGAAGGAGAGGAAGAGGAGGGCGGAGGGATGAGGGAGGAGAGGGGTGCTGAAGAGGAGGAGGGAGAGGAACTGGAAGCACGATCTACTTACAGTCGGCCTGTCACGCCACCGTGCCCGGGTTGTGGGTCTGAGGCTTGTGCGATGTTCGCTGGGATCTGTGGGGAGGCATCTCGCAGGCTTCGTGGAGGTAGTTTCGAAGTTCACTGATTGCCGTTTTGGGACCTCTTGGGGCCTCTTTTGGGCCTTTCGGAAGCTTTTTGAAGGTCTTTTGGGGGTCTCTTGGGGCCTTTTGGGCGGTTCGCGGGGTGTCCCAGGGCCAGGTGGGAGCGGAGGGCTCGAATTTTCGGTTCGGGCTCCGCCGCTGGGGCCCCTCTAGGAGCCGTCTTGGGACTCTTTTGGGCCGATTCGGGAGCCTTTGGGGCCGTCTTGGCGCCGTTTGGGGCCGTCCCGGGCGCCTTTTGGGACCCTTTTGGGACGTCATGGGGTGGCCTTGGGGGCCTGTTAGACTGGTTGCCACTCCGTGCAGGCTGAAAAGTCGTCGATGCTAGAAATGTACCTTTCCTCATTGAAAATCAAGGATTTTCGCTGCTTTGGACCTTCTTGGGGCGCCCC